GATGGATGGATGGATGGATGGATGGATGGAAGGACACCATATAGGGGTGATAGATGAGGAAGGGATGGATGGATGGAGAGATGGATGGATGGATGGATGGATGGAAGGACACCATATAGGGGTGATAGATGAGGAAGGGATGGATGGATGGAGAGATGGATGGATGGGTGGATGGATGGAGACCACATGGGGATGGATGAAGGGTTGGATGGATGGAGGGACACCATATAGGGGTGATAGATGGGGGAAGGGAGGGATGGATGGATGGATGGATGGATGGATGGATGGATGGATGGATGGATCAAGAGATGGATGGACACCACGTGGAGGTATGTGGAGACAACTTGGATGAGAGGATGGATGGATGGATGGAAGAAGGGATGGAGGGGCACCATATAGAGGTGATGAATGGTTGGAGGAAGGGATGGATGGATGGATGGATGGATGGATGGATGGATCAAGAGATGGATGGACACCACGTGGAGGTATGTGGAGACCACTTGGATGGATGGATGGATGGAAGAAGGGATGGAGGGACACCATCCAGGACAGATGGATGGATGGAGGAAGGGATGGATCGATGGAAACATTGGATGGATCAAGAGATAGATGGATGGATGGATGGATGGATGGATGGATGGATGGATGGATGGAGACCACACGGAGGTAGACAGAGACAACATGGATGGATGGATGGATGGAGACCACATGGAGGTAGACAGAGACAACATGGGTGGATGGATGGATAGAGGGCTGGATGGAAACTACACATGCGTGGACGGAGGGTTGGGTGAAGACCATGTGGGGATGAATGGATGGAAAGATCTGGTTGGATGGAGAGAAGGTGGGGAAGAGAGGAAGGGAGGGAGCTCAGACCATCATGGGGATGGAGGGACGGGTGGATGGATGGAGACCACGTGGATGGATGGAGACCACATGGATGGTTGGAGACCACATGGATGGATGGAGACCACAAGGTCACCATGGCCACCAGGGTCCACCCAACACTCCTGCATTGGGAACCCACCATGGACCTGGGCAGGGAGGGTGGAGCCTCG